AATAAAAACACTAAGTTATTTAATTATAACTATTTTTGAGCTTTTTAAAGGCGGATTTAAATATTATTTTAAGTTAAATGAATAAAACTCGTAAATAGTTTGTGCATATACACGTAAGTTTTTGATATAATATATATCCTCATTTAATAACATGAACTTGAAAAATAGGTTTTTTACATATAAATTAATTATACCTCTCAGAGTATAAATAGAGATGCTGTTTTAAGATAAAATGCTAGATTTATATAAATAACTTATATAAAATGCTATGATCGTAGAACTTATTATTTTTTTTAAGCTGGATTTAATTAATAAGAACCTAAAGAACATAAAAAATATTATTAATGAACTTTTTATATTTTTCATAATTGCGTTGATTAGGGTTGCATAAGAAAAAATAAAACCAAAGAATATTTAGCTTTTTTTTCTATGCCTTTTTATATATTAGGAATTATTATCCTACATTTTAGAAAATTAAAATAGATGTATTTATATATATTAAAATAATAATCATAAAACTTTTAAAAAATAAATATGTTTTTTTTTATAAATATATTTAGTATTAATTAAATAATTTATTTAGAAGAAATTAATAATATAAAATTCTAGATGTAATTAATTGAATAAATAAATAATTTTATATTTATAATTTTAGTTTATTTATTAATTTTTTTTTTTAAAAAAAAAATGGAAGATAAAGCAAATACAAATAATATTGAAAATTAAAAAATTAAGCCTTATCCAATAGCAGAATAAAGGTTAACTGTAAAATTGTTAGATTTATTATAATAAGCCATGCATTATAAATAATTAAAAAAAGGAGTTAATGAAGTTTTAAAATGTTTAAATAAAGGTGTAAGCGAACTTGTTATTTTAGCAGCTGATTGTGATCCATTAGAAATTGTAATGAATTTACCAGGTGAATGTGAAGAAAAAAATGTTCCTTATTGCTTTGTAAGCTCTAAATCTGCATTAGGGAGGGCTTGTGGAATTAAAAGACCTATTGTAGCAGCTACAATTATTTTACATGAAGGTTCATAATTAAATACATAAATATTAGAAATGAAAGATACTGTAGAATAATTATTTATATGAATTAAAATATTTTTATAAATAGCTATTTTTAATTTTTTTTATAATAAAATAATTCATTTTTATTATGGTTTTTGTCTAAAAAAATGATTTAAAAACAAATAATTTTTTACATATATTTATTTAACTTTTTTTACATTATATAAATTTAAAAAAAAAAAAAAATAATTATAATTTTATTTTATAAAAAAAAATATGAAAATTTAATAAGATAATTATATTTAAAAATTTTAAGAATTAGAAAATTTAAGATCATACTTATTATAATATTAATATTTAAATTCTCATATAAAAAAATAAATAAAAGAATAAAAAAATAATCTAGAAGTATTATTTAATAAACTTATTAATTTAAATTCATTTTTAATTAAAAAGATTTAGTTTACAGATAGATTATATTAATTAAAATAAATTATTTAAGAAAATTTATAAATTACTTTAAAAATTTTAAAAGAAAAAGCAATTAATACACTTGAAGAAATCTTATTAATTGAAGTATATTTATTTTATATAAATAATATTAAAATCACACATTTACTTTTTTATTTAAATAGTATATTAATTATGAACAAATCTTTAATAAATTAGATGCATTTGCATAATATTCAATTAATTTACATTAATTTTTAGATTCAGCTCTTGACAAATTATATGTCGAGGCTGATATTATTATAGATATAGAATATTTAAATAATTATATTTAAGAAAGCGAATAGATAATATCTTAAATTATATAAAAACACGATACTTTTTTTAAAGAATATCCGTAAATTAATAAAGAATTATAGGATTTATTATAAGAAACAAATGAATAATATATAATTATTAAATCAATTAAAAAGTGCTGATTAAATTAATAAATATATTACAAAAACATAGAATTAATTGATATATTTTTAATAAAAAGTTATATATATTTAATAAAAATTTAAATATTACTTTTTCATATTTTTTCCCGTAATTAATTTATTATATAAACTTCAATCAAGAAAATTAAAAAAAGAAAAAACCAATATAATTTATTTTGTTAAATTCAATTTTTTTTTAAGACAATGTACTCGAAAAATCGCGATTACTAAGACTTTTGTTATTAAGATAATTTTATTTTACTAAATGAAAAGTTTATCATTTATTTATTTATTTATTTTTTAATATTTTAAAGAAAATAGTTTTTGACAAATGATTATATAGATTAAAGAGTATTAGATGTAGAAATAGAAGCAGAAAAATAATATTATAAATAAAAACAATTAGATTAATAGTACGAATATATAAAGAGATTCGAATAATTAAAAAATAAAAGTAATATCGTCTAAACTGTCTATAATAATTCTATTATTTAAAATAAAATTAGTTAAGTTTGTCAATCTTAAATTAATAAAGAGATAAATAATTAATACAAAATTAATTAAACGGATAAATATTTGAATGAATGGAATCAAATATAAAATAAATGTTAATTATAATAAAATAACTAATAAAATTAATGTTATCAATTAGAAGATAGCTAAACTAAATTAAATGTTTAGGAGAATATAAATGAATATATAAAATAAAGTATCGAACTTAATTAATAATTAATTTATATATAATAATTAATTCATAACAAAGATTTTTACAGAGCTAAATTATTATTATTAAAGCTAATTGAATTGAAAATCGAAAATTCCGATATTTATTATTTTTTAGGTTAAATATTTAGGAAAGAAAGTAAATTAAAAGGAAAAATATAAATTAATTAAAAATAAATAGAAAAAATTATTTAATCAGAGAAATATTTAAAGGAATGTTTTAATTTTCAGGTATTTAATCCTTAAGTTTATAAATCTTTAGCAAAAATATATATATAAACTAAATACTATGAAAAAGCATTAGGACTATTAAATGAATACTAAAATTTTAACGTAATAATTAATTTTAAAAAATTCCTATAAACATTTTAAAAAGGAGTCTTATAAAATAAATTATTATATGGCTTAATGCTTATATGAAATGTAAAATTATTTACCTTGTATTTTTTAAATTGAAAAGGCTATTGAAAATAATAGAAATTATTATAAACTTTATTTACTGAGGGCTTTAGCTTATGAAAAATTGGGACTTTATTAAAAAGCAAATAAAGATTATTAAAGTTATGAAAATATAAAATAACTATAAATTAAATAAAAAGGAAAATGAATAAATATATATATACATTTTAATACTTTAATTATTAAAAAATTCTTATTTTTATTTTTAAATTAATATTAAAAAACATTTATATTTTTTAGATACATAAATAAATTTAATATATTAAAAGCTTTTAAATAAAGCAATCAATCTTATTTTATATCATAAACATTTTCCCATTAATTTTCAGATGCATCTCTTAAACATTTATCTAACATATCATATGCAAATTAATTTTCATGTTTATGATATAATGACTTATGGTAATATGCTACTGCTTTATTTAACTGATTAGAAATATGATAGGTATAGGCAAGAGAAAGATAGGTTTAATAATTCTTAGGCTCTAATTAAATACATTTTTCATAGCTTTAAATAGCTAATTTATATTCCTTCATTTTTCTATAAGTATGGGCTAAGTTATTTAAAATAGTATGTACTATTGAGTTAGCTGCTTCTGAACATAAATTAAGGGCAATCAAATATGTTTTTTTGGCTTCTTCATAATTTTTTTATTTAAAGTATATTACACCTTTAATTTAATTGAATATAAAATAAACTAATAATTTTTTTAAAAAAACCTATTTCATTATATATAAGTGGATCATTTTAATTAATTTCTTTTGCATATTAAAATGAAAGCAAAGCCGTTTTTAAATTGTTTGTTCTTAAATATTCCATTCCCATATACAGATGAGCCATATAACATCCAGGGAACAATCTACTTACTGTTCTATAAAAACTCATAGCTTAGTCAGATTCATCTTAAATGGCGAAGGAATGAGCCATTCCAATCCAAGCATAGACAAAATTTCTATCTAAGAAAATAGCCTTTTATAAAAATAATAAAAATCAATTAATTAATTGTATTTACCTTTTAGAAGTATTTTCTAGCAATTTCATATTTGGCAATAAGATAGTAGTAAGATCCTATAGCAAACCAACTTAAAGGATGAGTTGAGTAATTTTCAACCAAATTATGCGCACAATAATATAGTTCTCCTAAATAATTTAAATGTAATAAACAAGCACAATATACAGGAATTATATCAAAATATAAAGGATCAGATTTTATTGCTTTTACACAAATATCATAAGATCGCATAATATTATATTTAGAAAGACAATTTTTTGCTTTAATACACAATAAATCTATATTATTTTTTTATTGTAATATTCCATATAAATTAGAAGCTTTAATTTAACTTAAACTATTGTTATTCTATATTTCATCTTCCATTACATTTTTATTTGCGTTTGCTGAAACATCTAGTTTACATGCAGTATCTTCACTAATTCTTTATAAATAATATTCTTTAATCCATATATCTTATTAGTTAAAATTTAAAGAAGTCAGTAACTATTCTTTACCGACATTACCTAATAAATAGAAATCTATCATTCTCTTAAAAGCTTCATGACAAGTCGGATCTTTTTTTAAACATTCTATATATTAATAAACTGCATTCTATTTGTTTTCGAGTGATTCATAACATTAACCTTTTAAAAAATTTTTTTAGGCTTCAAGCTTTGGATTAATATTTTCTTCGAAATTTACTTCTAAAGCATTTATGCATTATTCATATTATTTATTTTTAAAAAGAGCCCTAGCTGCAAGTATTTAAAAATGTGCATTATGATTTAGTACTTTATATTTTTAAAATAATAAATGAACTTTCTTAAAATCAGTATTTAAAAAAAAACACTCTCCTAATATATATACATAAGGAGCAAATCCGTCAGTTAAAGTAGCCAATTTATCTGCATAAAAAATTGCATCGGCCCACGAATGTAAAGCCTTATTTTCCATTACGAGTTCATATAATCTACAAAAATTTTCATTTTCTAGTGTTTCTGTAAATTTTGCAAATTATTAATCATACTATAATCCATCTTCTTCCTATAATGTATAATAAGGACCATATATTTCATGAAGATAAGATTTTTGATATTAAATATGTTTGTGTTAAGATTTATTACGAAAATTACTATTATTTGAGGGCTGATTATACTGGGATTAGTGAATATTTGGTGTTAAATAACCAGGTAAAATATTTTAATTTTTTGACATTTGTAATTTTATAATTTTTTTTAAATATATATATTTTTTACAAATATTTTATTTAATATTTTTTTAAATAAATTATAGTAATACATTATAATCAATATTTCATTTATAATTTTATTATATAAAATACTTTTTAAAAATAAAAATACTTATAATTAATTATATAATTTAAAAAATCAAAATTAATTTTAATTTTCTTACTATAAAATGTACCAATTTATTTCTATTGTATTTATATTTATTTTCTTTAAATTTTAACATTTATTGTATTTATATAAGAAAAAAATTAATATAAAATAAAAAAGGATATAAAAATGATTAAAATGATAGTTAGCAAAGTAAAAGCCTTCGAATAATAAAAAAGAGCACCAATAATCTATGCTTTAATTGGCGTCATTATGTATGTGTCAATAGGTATTATTATAAAAATGTATCCTTAAATTTCTCCCACTTAATTTCTATATTATAGATCTATATTATGTCTTGCAATTAATCATATAATAATGCGTACATTTGAAACTGAAGCATATCCAGAAAGTCCTAAAATACATTTCTTGCTCATAATAAGATGTATATGTGGAGGATTAGCTCATTTTTTCTATTTTTAAGCAATAGGATTAATGAATTTAAGTGATGCAATCGCTATTTTTTTAACTTCTCCGATATGGACAAGCATTTTAGCAGCAATAATGATAAAAGAAGAAAAAATAGATTCTACAATACTACTAACTATATTAGTAAGCTTTTTTGGAATATTATTAATCATAAAGCCACATTTCTTAATGGTTTAATTAGGTTTTATTACAACATAATAAGTAAGTTCAGATTAATAAAATGCTATTTTAGGATTACTATTATGCTGCAGCTTTAGTCTTTTTGAAAGCTTTGGTAATATTATAGTTAAATCTATTGGTGCTTCTATACCTGTTACAATTGTTGTACAATATGTATATATTTCTGGGTTCGCATTAAATGGCATAGTTTTAATTATTTAAGGGAATTTTAACGAAAATGTTTATTATATCTAAAATTTTTTAGGTATTTTAATACTCTCTTTTGTTAATTTAATTGGATAATTAATCAGTAATAGAGCTTTACAAATAGGAAAAGCATCCTAAGTTATTCCATTAAATTATACTTAAGTGGTAATAAGCTTTTTAGTAGATATTTTAGTTTTTCATAAGGACTTAAGTTATATGAGTCTTGTTGGATCTTGCTTAATTTTAATGAGTAATTATAAAATTATAACTAAAACATGAAAATTAAATTTTAAAAATTAAATAAAGTTTAAAATTTAATGTTTTTTAAATACTTATGTATTTTTTATTAAATAAAAATAAATAATTATAATATTTAATAAAAATTATATAATAAACTATGAATTATTAATTAATATATAAATAAATATTATGATAAATTAAAAAACATAAAAACATACAAATTATTGTGTTTGCCTTATATTTATTAAAGAAAGCATACGAAACTCTTAGGTATTTTTAATATATTTTAATTAAAATAATTTATTTAGTATTTTATGAAATTGATTTAGTATTTTATGAAATAGATTTGTATTTTATGAAACGGATTTGTATTATTCGAATGCGTAAATTTTAATTCTTTATTTTTTGTATTATTTAAGTTATATTAATTTCTTTTTTTTTAAAAAAATATAGAAACGTTAACTATATATAAAAAAAAATATCTAATTTTTATGTATACTACGGCGAATACGAAATACTTTCCTGTAAGCGTTTTATTAGTTTTTTTTTTTTCCATTTTATCATTAAAAAATAAATTTTAAAATTTGCATTGTGTCACAAGCGATATTTTGGAAAAGTATTTAGGATAAAATTTTGTGTTAATTTGAATTTAAATAACATATAATTAATTTTACATTTTAATGTACTTTATTTAGTATTTATTATTCAATTTGTATTTTTTTTTGACTCAAAAATAACAAACCAAAATTTTTCTGGATTTTTTTTAAATTTATTGTTTTATCAAATAAAAAGTTCATATCATATGAAATAATAAAAGAAGAAAAGTAGGATAATATAGATTTATATATAAAATAATTTATACTTTAGTTTATTTACTTAGTTATTTTAATTTTTTTAAACTTTTTTTATAAATATAAAGTAATTTAAATTTAAAAAAAATACATATCTTCTGTTTAGTAATAGGAATTTACAAAAATTTATCAATTTTATTTAAATAAATAAACGAAAATTCTTTTTTAGTAGATAAAGTGCTTTATATAAGTTTGAGTTAAATAAGAAATAACATTATTATTTTTAAAAAAATAAAAAATTAATTAATATAATTTATTTTAATAACAAAACATTTATTTATAATATTAAATTGTAAATAAAAAAATTTTTTAAATTATAAATAAATTTAATAAAATATAATAAAAAAATAGATAAAAATCATATTTTTTAAAATTAAATCTATTTTAACATACGCCTTGAATTTCTCTAAAAAATTAACTCATAAAGGACAAGACTAAGATTTTTCAAATTTGAACAATTAATCAAAAGAGAGCTTACGAGAAGTTTCATATTTATCAATTTAATATAAAATATAGAGAATTTAAATAAGGCGATATTATTATATAAAGTTGCAAAAAAAAATTATTTATGTATATTTAAATTAATTAATGAAATTTATTATATTCAAAATAATAATTATTTGTCAGTTTCAATGGATTATAAATATAAAAAAAAAAAAAAATCACTTATAAATATTTAAAATAATATATTAAGTTATAAAATATTTCAAAGATACAAAATATATTTTTTATATTAATCATAATATTAAGTTAATTTAATATTAAATATATATAAAAAAAGAAAATATCCCTTTTTTTTAATTAATTTTTAGTCTTAATAAAACTTATGCTAAATTTTAAAAAAATATTCTATTTTTCAGGAGTAGCTTTACCCTTATCTATTAGCTGCTTCACATATTATAAATACAAATAATTAGAAATTTAAATTAAATAAAAATATGATAGTTTACATTAAAATTATAAATAAAAAAAGTAAAAATTAAAAAATACTTTAGTAATGTAAAAAAAATAATACGCTTAGCATATGATTAAAATAAATCAATAACAATAAAAATTAAATTAAAAATTGTATATTTAAATCAAATAATATTAACAAAATCTTTTAAATTAGCATAATTAATCAAATACTAATAGAAAAAAAAAAAAAAAAAACTTAATTAATTAATTAAACTAATAATAAATTATAATAAATCTAATAAAAAATTATTTAAACTGAAAAAAACATAGTATAATTTATAGTTGATAAAGGTTAATTGCTATAGGATTAAACTTTAGTTAAAAAGTAAGAATTAGATTAGTTTATTTACTAAGAGCAGTAGGAATATAAAAAAATTAAAAAATAATATAAGGAATTAAAATTAAAGAGATATTAATAATAATTATTAAATGATAAAGAAACTATTTAATTATAGTAAACTAAAAATTTAAATTTAAACTAAGAATAAGAATATTAAAATAATCCAAAAGAAAATTATGATGTTGAAAAATAAGAAGATTAAAAATGAGAAAAAAAAAAAATTAAAATTAATTTTTATCTTAATAAAAGTTTTTAAATATTGTTAAAATTAAAATAACATTATAAATTAATTAATATTTTATTTATTTATTAATATAATTTAATCATAGACATACATTTTTATTATTTTTAGTCAATAAATTTAAATAATAAAATTAAATAGTAGTTTTCATTAAGATTATTAATTTTATTTTTGTAATTTTATTTAATTTTATAAGTAATCGAATTTATCTGATAGTTGGCTTAGTGTACTATTTTTTCTTGAAAGTTTTTTTTCTTAGTATTTTTTTGAAACTTAATTTAAAATATCTTAACTATTATTAATATCATTATCTTTTAATGGTTAATATATATATATATTCTCTATTTTTTTAGGATGAAATGTAAAACATAAGGAGTTTACTAAAAAAAATAAAAAAAAGCAAAATAATCCCCAAAATAATAATAATGTAGGTGGACCATAATATTAAATTTAAGAATTTGCAACAGAAAAGCATCCTCCTTTATTAACAGGAGGGCCATTGTTTATATTTGAAAAAACATATATTGGATAATGGTCACATATTCCGCTACATTCAAAAATAGTTTCTAATTCATTAATTAAATTAGCTTAATCATTTGTATAATTTATTCTTTATAAATTAAAAAAGTAAATATTATTAATAAATCAGACTTTAATATTTATATATAAATATGTTTTAAAAGTATTATTACAATTTAATTTAATATTTTTTTTTTTTACTGTTTTTTAATATTTATATTTTTATATTTATATAACCTTAAATCTTAAAGTATTTATTCATATTAAGGGCACTAAATAACATTAATAATTTAGTTATGTTCTATTTAAAAGTTTTATTATTTAAATTATTCATCATTTATAAAAATTTATTCATTTTAAATATCGCATTTACATTTTTCAGTACAAAAGATTGTGCTTGCTTTTACAAATTATCTTTATATTGGCAATATTATATCCAATTTTTTACATGCACGACTATCGTATTAAAGCTCAGTTGTAATAAATAATATTAATGTAAGAACAATGCTAATAACTAAGAAATTAATTACAAAGTAAAATATTGAACAGTTAAATATTAGTGAAATTATCTTACTAGAATTATACTTTTATTGTAAAAATCCAAATATAACTAATATTAATAATGTCACTCCAAAATAAATTAATACTTACTAAATGTAATTATATTTACTATTTTAATATATAATGTATAATGTAATCTTAGTAATGATAAACAATATAGTAAAAATAAAAATGATTTCTAATGTAACTTTAATAAATTTTCTTAAAAATTCTATTTCAAAGAGCATTTTAATTTGTAATTTTTTATTTTTTACAAAAATAAGTTATTTTAAAAATAAAATTAATATCTTAAATTAATAACATATAAATAAGCAAAACAAACTTAATGAAGAGATTATTCATTCAAATAATTATAATGTTAAATTTTTTATAAAATTATTACATAAAATATTTAAACATTTTAAAAAATAGATTATAATATATAATAGAGTAGCAATAAATTAATTTTTTTTTATATATTTTATTAATAAATTTTATATTAAGAAATTATAAAATAAAAAACTAATATTTATTAGCATTCTGGTTTTTATATACTATTTTTTTTTTTTTATTATTATTAATTTGAATTAAAGATTATATTACACTTATATAATTTATTTAAAATTTTACTACTAAGCAAAATCTTGTGTTTTAACTACTTGAAAAAACTAAAATCCTTAAATCCTAATATATTATATTTTTATTTTAAACAAAAGTTATCCTACCTTAATATTTAAATATTTATTTACTTTTTTTTTTAAAAAAAAAAAATTAACTAATTTTAATTTAAATTATAATTAATTTATGCAATTTATTTATTAATCTTTCTTATTTAATGTTTTTAACATACATTAGTATTGATTTCTTACGAATTCTATTATAAAATTGTTTAAACACTTATTATTATTAATTACATATTTTTAAAATGCGTTATGCTTAATTTGCAATTTTCTTCTTTATTGTTTCCAGTTTTCAAAGACCTTTTCTATTGAATTCATTATAAGTCTATAAAGAAGGACAAAATAAAATATTAATTTTTTAACCGAATTCATCAAATAATTTAGCATGATAAATTCTGTAATTATCCCAATCAAAAAATATAAAAATTTAAATTAAGCATTTATTTCCTAAATTTTTATTATTCTATTATAAATATTTACAAAATCTTATGATTTAAAAAATGGTTTATAAAATTAAAACCCAATTAAAAAATCTTCTATTATTGCACAAATTAATGGAATGTTTTCCTTTCTAATAAATTTTTCCATATGAGCTTATTAATATTTTTTAAGAATAAGAATATGGAAAAATACTATTACTTATAAATTTTTATTCTCTATTCTTTTAATTTGTAATATCTAGAATTGTATCAATTCTTAATTATTTAGTTTTTCTCTATTCATATCAATTTAATATTTACTACATCTTTTTATAGAAATATTTAATATTTTAAGTATTTTAATAATTAAAGTTATGTTTCATTTAAGATTTTAGAAAACTCGTATTTTTCTTGTTTTTCTGCGATAGTTTTATAGTTTATGTATTATTTTTATCTGTTTTTCTCAACGAATAATTTTAATTTCAATTTATTTAGCCTATTTTGGTCATGTTTTATATAAAGATAGGAGTATCATTAACAAAATTAAATATTTTTTAATTATATATTATTAACTTCATATTATAAAAGTCAACATATAAAATATAACATGTGAGGCTGTGGTTATTATTTATATTACGAATTTCCACAACTTATAATCTGAATCACAATTTAATTATATTTTAAATAAATATCAGTATTGCAAATATTTTGTGTTATATAAAAATAAATTCCTTAAAATAAATATTAATTTGCTTATTTTGTTTTTTTTTAATTAAAAATTTTTATTTAAATAAAAAAAAAATTAAAACCAAAAATTTTTTAATAAATTATTTAATTTAAACTAAAAAAAAAAATTGCACCATAAAAATACAAAAAAATGATTCAAACAAATACAAAAAATAAAATAAAAATAAAATTATATGAAAATTGAAAAATCAAAATATATAAATAATAAAAAAATAAATAAAACTTTTTTCTATTCTATATAAAATAAAATAAAAGAAATAAAAAAAAAAAAAAAAACTCACAAGGAAATATGCAAGAAGAAGATAAATCCTGGACAAACAAAAAGGTGGACCATTTTGTAGTAGTGAATAGTGTTTTAGGAAAAGGAGCATTTGGAAAAGTATACCGAGGTTTTTTTGCTGAAGATGAAACTAAATTAGTTGCTGCAAAAGCCATATCTATAAAATCGATTAGTGATTCAGGCAAGATGTTAGAATTGATAAAGCGAGAAATATCTATTCTCTAAAAAATATCATCTCCATACATTGTATGTTTATATGATGTAGCCAGAACATCAAATAATCTTTATATGTTTTTAGAATACTGTCGAGATGGTGATCTGAAGGAATATTTAAAAAAGAAGGAAGGCAAAAGGTTAGCAGAACCTGAAGCATTGCTATTTTTTAGACATATAGTAGAAGGTTTTAAAGAACTTTAAAAGAACAAAATTATACATAGAGATGTTAAACCGGCTAATATTATGTTAGATAATGGAATCGCTAAATTATGTGATTTCGGGTTTTCTAGAGTTATTGAAAAGGATGATCCGGCACTTTTATCTAGACTTGGTTCGCCTCTTTATATGGCTCCTTAAATCCTTGATGGGGTTCCTTTCAATTCTAAATGTGATGTATGGTCTGTTGGTATTGTTTTTTATGAAACACTTTATGGACACACTCCTTGGACTGGAGAAAACTAAGTAAATTTGCTCTAAAATATAAAAAATTTGCCATTAAAATTCCCTGATTAGCCTATTCGTTCGAAAGAAGTAAAAGAATTGTTGAAAGGAATGCTTAAAGTGAGTGAAAACGAGAGACTTTCTTGGGAAGAAGTATTCGCGAATCCTTTAATAAGAGATTATAATATTTAAAAAACAGAGTATAATAACATTAGTAGCTTATAATTAGGAAATTAATAGGGAAATAATAATAATGGTGTACCTTAGGATGATTTAGAAAAAAGCATAAGTATAAACGAAATATATGTAAAATAAAACTTAGTGGCTGGTTATTTAAAAAATAATGTAGAAAGTGGACAAAAAAATGAACTTTAAGAATAAATTTTGAAATAATAATAATCTTAGGAAAATAATAAGAATAGTAATACTTAAAGTCATTTAGAATAAAGTGCTTAGAAAATTAATTAGATTGTTAATAAATAAAAAGATACGGAAAATTAAAGGAAGAATATTTTAAAGATTAATGAGTATATTTTATATGAAAGAAATATTGCCTTTTTTTCGAATTTTGCTATTTAGAAGCTTATTAAAGCCTATAATGATAAAAAAATACCGGTTTAATAAGATTTGTATTATAGAATTGTTTTCTGTATTTGTAAATATTAAAATATTTTACTTAATAAAATGTACAATTTCTTAAAGTTAGATAAAAATGAAGGCTTTTCAGATTTAGTTTGGTAAATTTATAAAAATTCGACTGAATATTAGTCTACTCTTAAACTTATTAATACTGATATTTAACATTCGGTTAGTTTCTATGAAGAAATCTTTAAAAAAACTAAAGATATTTTGCAAAAATAATTGCAAAAAGAAACTAATAATGAAGTTAAAGATTATATCAATAAGTTTTTGATGATTATGGACAAAAAATTTGAACTTGATGAAAAATTCAAGGGTGTTTTTAAACAAAATACTAAAGAAATAGCTTATGTTTTATAAGAATTAGTCGATAAAAATAAAGCTGATAAACAAATTTTGGTATTAACGAGATATATTTAGATTTGTAATAATCCTTATATGGAATTTAATAATGCCTCATTTGATTTCAATAAATTTTATGAAGAAATCGAACACAATTCGGAAGAAGAATTAAGGAAAAGTGTTAGTTCTAATAAGTTTGGAAAATGATTTTATTAAGTATAAAAAGAAAAAATATGATATATTTTAAAAAAGATTTATTATATTTTTTTAATTATTATTTTTTGTTTAATTATAAAAGATAATATATATTTAATTATTAATTTATTAATAATTTTTTTTTTTTTTAAAAAAAAATATTTTTGTTTAAATTTTTATAAATGTAATTATTATTAATAATAAATATATATATATATATATATATATACATCAAATTAAATAATAATAATTATTAAAAATAAAATCAATATGAATTTAAATACAAATATAAATAATAGTAATGGTCCTTCTTTAGATAAATTTTCTGATGAAGAATTACTTAATATAATAAATAATAATCCTGAAATTAAAAAATAATATGAAGAATTATTAACCAAACATTAAACAGAAATATCTCAAAAGCAGTACTCCTAATCAAAACCTATGAACTCAAAAGAATATATAAAAATAGAAAAAAATCTGGATAAATATTTAGATAAAGAGGGAGGAATAGTCATAGAAGGAGAACCGAAATTCGTTTTTAAAACATTTGAGAAATAAACTAAAGAGAAAATATTTATTAATATTCTTACTCATCCAATAATAGATGCTCCAGAAGAAAAATTTCTAATAGATTATGAAAATTAACCAGGAATAAGGGTACCTATGTCATTAGGGAGATTAAAAGAAGATAGTGATAGAAGTAAATAAATATGTTTTTATTAAAAAATAAAAATTAATATATAAATAAATTTGTAACAAAGAGGGAGATTGTTGTAAAGTTATTGATGCAATTATAAATCCTGGAATTTGTGAAAATATTTAAAAGGAAACTTAATTGTGTATATTTTTCGTTTAATTATTATAAGGATATTGTGAATAAAAATATAAAATCAATTTAGATGAAAGTATTAAAAAAAAATTTTTTTAAAAATAAAAAAACTATTTATAAAAAAAAAGAATTCACATAACCAAAACTAAAATATAAGGGAAAAAGTATTGAATTTTAAAGAGTTAAAGGTAAAAAAGCACCCAAAATTTAATAATTAAGTGAAGAAGAGTCTCAAATGTAAGCCGAAATAGAAAAAAGTGGAAAAAAATTAATAAATGAAATGAAAACACAAAATAATAATTTGAATTTAAAGGGTTAAATACCCAACTGGACTTTAAAAATGGTTTACGCAGATAATTTATAAGGAGAAGAATATGATGGAGATTTCGATATTGAAAAACTTCTTTATATGTAATTAGAAATAGAAATGCCTTTATTAGTTACAGGAAAACATATAATTTTAGAATTGAATGAAAAAAATCTTTTTTTGAAAAACGGAAAATTTTACGAATTGGCATTAAGATTTCCTTTAAGAGTTGATAAATAAAATTGCAAAGCAGTTTTTAATTATGAAACTAGATGTTTATTTGTTAAATTATGTATTTTGAAAGCTATTGAAATTTAAGACGAGAAAGATATTAATAATAATTTTGGAAAAGATAATATCAATAATAATTAGGATATCCATGTTAATATTGGGTAGAAGATTTAATTAAATAACGATATGTTAGATGATTTAGTTTGAATTTTATTATTATTTTATTTGTGTTTAGTTAATATATATTATAATAATAAAGTTTATATATATATAACATTTTATTTTTTTCTAATATATTTATTTATTAATAAATATTTTATTTTATTTTGTTCGAAAAATTGCAATATTAAGATATATAAAGAGAATAAATAAAAATTAAAAAAATCATTAGACTATATATTATTTATTTTACAAATACTTAAAATTATTAAAAATTCAGTTATTGATTAATATTATTAACAAGTAAAACACGTGGTTTAAGTTATAATTTTTTAAAATATATCCCTTAATTATATATATATTTATTATACAATTTTTTGTTTTTTACATAATAAATAGAAAATAGTATGGCCTAATTATTTATGTTTAAATAATTATCATCTTTAACTAAAAAATTTAGTTTGTTTTTTTCCTAAAACTTATCATATTCAGGATTTACTATATGTATAAGCGAATAGAAAAGCTTGATAAAAAGAATAATTTTTGGTTATTAAGCGAAAGAAAACTATACATAATGCAAAAATATCTGTTTTGATATCTTTTTAGAAATTTTATCTTCACTACTTACTTTCTTTTTAGAAAAAGAAGCTATTTTATTACTCTTAAAAATTTTATTACTCTTAAAAAAGTAATATTCATTTTAGAATGTATTTTAAAGTTCCATATGTTTTCAGATAATTTTCTATTAGAGGAAAAAATAAATTTATTAACTTTAAATTAAATTTTTTATCTTTTATATCTATAATATAATGTCTAATGTCCATAAATTAAAAAGTTCTTTCAAGCCCTGCTTTTTTATAAAAATTAATAAATTATTTAATAAAAATAAAAAATAAAATTATATCTTTAAAAAAATAATATTAATTTTTATTTTTAATATTTATATTTTTCTAAAAACATAAAAAGTAAATTAATTATATTCTTTTTGTTTTATATAAAATTCTAATGTTCGAATTGGCACATATTCGAGAAATAAAATGTGAAATTAATTTTTTTTTTTAATTTAAGCAATATTGATATTTTTTCATTAAAACCTTTTTGGTATTTAATTGCTTTTTTTCTTAAATATATATTAATATTTCTAATTCAAATAATATAAACCTACACATTAATAAAATACTACGTTTATTTTTATCAAATAAAAATATATATAAATCAAATTATATGAAAAAAAAAAAATTATTTAAATACCCTTTTTATTAAATACTTATATATATATTTATTTTAAAATAAGATTTTTAAAAGATAGTAATTTTAAATTATTTCTAATAAATATAACAAATAACTAATTATAAAATATATATTTTATATCTAAATAAATAAATAATACTTATTTCTAATAAGAAGTATTTAAGTTAAAAAAATAATATAAACTTTTAATTTAATTATATATTATTTTATAATTTTTTTAAAATCATTTTTATAATATTATCTTTTTAATTTTATGAAGAAATATAAATTTATGAAATTCGTTTTATTTATGTATTTATTAAACTGGTATTTTGCTTAATTCTTATTGTATTTCTTATTATTTTTTTTAATAAAAATTCTAAACTAATAGAGTATTTAAATTATTAGTTTGTTTCTTATTTATAAATAAAGTTTATTTATATAAAATTAATTTATATTCAAAAAAAAATTCAGATTTAATTAAAATATTATTACTTTTTTGTTAATTTCAGCAAATAAAGTTAAATGCAAAAATAATTATTTTCAAATATATTTATAATATAATAAAAACCTTAATAAGTTTAAAATTAATTTTGATATGTAATTATAATAATTAAAAACTTATTTAAATCTTCAAAATATATAATAAAATATTATTTAAATAAATAAAACATATGGTAAAAAACTCTTTTTTCTTTAAAATTTTTAAGACTAATAATTTTTTTGTTTATACTATATTACTTTTAATTTGAAAAATTATTATAAATAGAAGTTTAAAATTTATTTTTATATTATTTTTATATATTGAGAAAAAGAATAAAGTGACTTAAATAAATTGTTTACTAAAAATATTAAAATTTTTAATTTATTGTTAAAACCAATATTTATAAAAAATTATCAACTATTTACTTCATCTTCATCACTTTCACTTTATTTTTTTTATTTTTTAATTTATTTTTTATTTGGAATATCAACAAACCCTTTAACAACATATTTAGGTTATTCTTATTATTAATTTATTTATTCTTATTCATCTTTTATTTACTTACTATCTTTTAATTATTCTTTATTATCTTCGTTTTTATTTTCTTTAATTTAATCGTTTTATTATTGAAGAATATTTTCTTATTTTTTCTTTTTAACAGAAAAAAACTAAGAACATAAATCAGCAATTTTTTTAATTTCATCTTCATTTTTTTCAATTTCATGATTTAAATCAATATTTTAATCAATTTCAACATATTCTTAAGCCTTATTTTTATAATAATATAATTAAATTAAAAAGATAAAAAATTACATCAGGATGAATAGGTTGAAATTCTTCAAAAATAATACTTAAATCAGCAATTTTTTTAATCATTTCTAAGTCGAGTTAGATTTCTTCTAAATTTATATTATTAGGATTTACAATTTGTAATAAAATGCGTTGATTTAAATCAATTTATTATGTTAATGAATATATTTTTTTATAATTTAAATTAAACTTTAATATAAGGAATTACTATATTATATTATTTCTGGATCATCTTTAAAATTATATGAGAAATTAACAAATAACTATTTTTATTTTTAATAAAAAAAGTTTTTTTTTATTTTATTTTTTTTTCATAAAAAAGAAACTTTAAATAAACTAGATTATATTTCTGTATATGAAAATCTATATTTTAATAAGATTTTTTCTTAATTAAAAAATTTAAAAAGTGCTTTTAAATTATTTTTATCTTTAATTAAATTCGAATGTTCTCCTATTAAAAAAACTAAAGTTTAAAAGATTTTTTCTTTGGCAGAAATTTAGGGAATGTTTAAATATTATTTTGTATTTTCAAATAAATTTTCTTAGTTTTCATTTAAATATTTAATAATATTAATTGAAAGATTAAATATTAATTATTTTGTGCCTTCTACTCTTACCATAATAGAATAAATCAATTATTAAATCATAACCGCGCATTCCATATCGTCAACGAATTTACAAATATTAAAAATTACTTTATTAAGAAGCCAATCGAAATCATTAATTAATTCAAAGTCATTTTTTTAAGATAAAATAATCACAAAATGTATAATCTTATTTATTATTTTATTATTTTCTTTTTCTAAATTTGCTAATATAGCTTCAATGACAGTTTTAAACATTTCTTTAGTAATATAATTTTAAAAAATTTCCAAAATTTGAATTTTAGTGAATTAATCATTAGCATTTTCATAATTTTATATCAAAAATTCTTTATATTCTTCTAATATTGATTAATTTCCTTATATTGTTTTATTTAATAATATAAATCCTAAATTTCTTAAATTTCCATCTTTATGATCTATTAAGCTTCTTAATTTTTAACAAGCCAATTCATAAAGTTCCTTTTCCTCTTAAAAATATTCTATTGTACTTGATAAAACCTCATATTCAAGTGCTTTTGATTTGTTATTTTATAAAACTTGTAAATATTAATCTGATAGTTTTTTTATTAAACGAGGTTCCAGTTTTAACATTTTATGAAATGTTTTTACTAATTTAATCATAAACCAATTCGATTTTTATTTCTGGAGTATCTCATATAAAGGTTTTACAAATAAAGGATATAACTTTGGTTATGTATTTAATACAGTTTATACTACACTTGTAAAGCATGCTAATACAGCTTATTTTTTATTTTTAAATATATAAAATTTTAAAATAAGATATAATTAAATAATTACTTGGATTAGATTCTTAAGGAATAATTTAATTTAAAATAATTTCTAAATTTCCCTATATTGTTTATGGTGCATGTGTAAAAATTTAAGCTACTAAAACCAAGGCTTTTTTTCTTATCAAAACATTAGTGCTTTTCAAAAGTTTCATTGCTTCTTTAATTATTCTTGGGCCAAGTTCTTTATCTACGATGTTTGTTATACAATTAAGGATGCAAGAAATTTCAATATGATTCGATTTCATCATTTCTTTTTTAAATATGTTTGTTCCCATAAATAAACTTTAACTAAAAGGATCTACTGATATACATGATTGTAAGCAAGCCATTTTTTTTAATGTAAAATTTTAAGACCCTAAACAATTTATTATTTGAAATTCTAAGGCTGATAAATCCATATTCTCGGATTTTAAAAAAAATAACTTTTATAAGGCTATCGCTTGAATTTGGGGATCTTAAGATTTTAACTCTTTTTTTACATCATCATATGTTTGAATTAATACGCCTTGGAAATCACCACTTGTGCGTGATAATTTTATTACTTCTTAAAGGTTCTTTTGGTTTGAAAACATTTATTCTTACAAATAGTATTTAATTTTTTATTTTTTTGTTTAATAATAAATAAAGATATTAATATTTTTTTATTTTATTATTATAATCAATAATATATAATTTTTAATTAACTAATTTTATTAAATGAAAATTATTTAGTTTATATAAATAATAATTCTTTAATTTATTGTATTTAATATTTACCCATTTTATAGTTTATTGCCGATTTTTAATTAAAAAACATGCTTTTTTTTTGTTTTTTTCAAAAAAAAAAAATAATCATATTAAAATAAAACTAAAATATTTATCAAATTTATACTTTATTTTATAAACATAAAAAAATATATATAATGCTAAAATTAATTAAATTTTTAAGTATAAAATAAACAAATAAATAATGAAAAGCAAATAATCCCAAAAGCCATTGTTAATTCCATATAAATCTATTGGTATTTTTTGTGATGAAAACCCATCTCACATATATAATGCTGGTGATAAATTATTTATGGCAACATCATGTTCTCATTCTTTTAAAGTATATACGATTCCTGACTTAAAAATATAATTATTCGGACCTCATCTAGAAGGAAAGGTACGACACATATAAGGAGAAAATGAGAATTTATATATATCAATAAAAAATAAAGTATATAAAATGCGTCATTATCATATATTAGGGGAATTCTAAATGTAAAGTAAAATTAGATCTACATTATTAATGGGAGATGAATTAGCAGTCATTGATATAAATAATATGCTAAGAATTTTTAATAAGCATTCAAAAGAATGTGTAAGCCAAGTTTCTTTAGAATTTAATGTCCTCGGAATGGTACATCCTCCTACTTATTTAAATAAAATTATTATCTATGGGCCAAACAATGTTTAGTTGTGGAATATTTCTTCTATTAAATGCATTTTTGATTTCTAAAAAAGCCTATTTTAATAACCTAATAAAGTTCTAAAAGTTATCGAAGTTTCACCTGTTTTAGATGTCCTTGGTTTCGCTTTTTCTGATGGTAGTATTATGATTCATAATATAAGAAAAGATTAAATTCTTTTAACTTTTTTTATTTAAAATATTCCTACTTCACTTTCTTTTTCGAAAGTAGAAAATCCTTTATTAGCAGTAGGAGATAATAAAGGTAATATTACAATATGGAATTTAAATGAAAAAAAAGTTTATTCTTAAATTAATTAGGCTTTTGTATAAAGTAGTATTTCATATTTGACATTTTTACCGAATTAATTAAGTTTTCTAGTATAGAGTGGTTAATATAATTGTATTAAATAAGTAAAAATATAAAATTGTTTATATATATATATAAATATATATTAAAAATAAAAGTATGTCCATGAAGAATATGAAGAAAATAAATTTGCGATTCTTCGTTTTAGAAAAGCTAGTGAAAGAAATCTTAAGAAAATCGAATTTAGTGATCCTTTGCATATTTTTGGTTTCTGTGAAAACTAACTTCTTGATTATTCATTAATAAACGAGTGTAATTCAAAGGAATTTTCGGCAAAATAATAGTCTAAAAATAAACTTAAAAAAGCCCATATTTATACTGAATAAAATTCTGCCGGAACAGCCCTAAACGAATTTTTGGATTTTTCTTTTTCCACAAACAGAAGTCTGGATTGGGCTAATGTGCTTTCTTGTCATAAAGAAAGTAATAAGCCTTGCCTTTGGAATTCAGAAGATCATACTATTATTAAGTAAAATGTAGAAATGTTTGAAAAAACATTTGGAAAAGTTTAAGAAAAATTATCTTTTACTTAAATTACATGTGTTTTTGTCACTAAATGTGGAAATTTTGGGTTGTTAGGGGTAAATTCGCCATTTGTAGTTAAAATAAATATGTAATCAGGGGCTCATTAGGGTGTTTTTTAATTAGAAAGTGTAAAATAGAGCTCTTGTGTGACTTCTATATTTGTAAATCATTATAATAAGCATGCAGTTATATGCGATAGTGAAAATACAATGCAAATATTTGACTTTTATTCTAGATAATTATTATAAAAAATCGAATTTGAAAACAGAAGCGTGTCTTTTATTCGAGGAGGAAATTTCTCTTAGCATTTTTTGGTTGCTTTGACTGATTTTTCGATATAAACATATGATTTGTTAAGTTTTAGAAAAGGGAGAGATATAAAAATGCATTCTTAGGCTATTTTAGATGCTTAGTATACTCATAATAATAAATATATAGTATCTTCAAGTATGGACTGTAGTATTAAAATATATGATATAGCAAGTGATTGTATATTAGGAAATTATTTAATGGAAAAACCTGTAATTAGTTTAAGTTTTGAACCTTTAAATGGTGAATTTATGGCAAGTATTTTCGCTGGATCTAAGGAAATTAATATCTGGCACAATTGCTTGGATGTTAATTTGCCGAGTTTTGAATAATAAGTGGGTATTTAATTTGTTTCGGATATTAAAAGGTAAATAAATGGTGAAGGATTAAGATAAAGGTTTTATGGATTTTTAGATGATGAAGAAAAAGAAGATGAACTTTTGGAAAATAATAATAAATATTTAATAGAATGTGGGGAGTTTTAGAATAATTTCAATAGCTTGATTACTTTTACAATTGTTGAAAATGGAAAATGGATTCCTTTAATTAATTTGGATGAAATCAAAGAAAGAAATAAATTAGAAAATAATGATAATATTGAATTCTAAATGCCTTTCTTTTTAGATTTTTAAAATAAGGATAAGATCAGGGAAGAAATGAAGAATGAATTTAATTAAAAATTAAAAGAAAAATCAAGAATTATTAAATCTAAATAAGATGGTTTGATGTAAGAAATATCTTAAGATTTCTAAATGTATTAAATTGTTAAAAAAGAAAATGGTTTTTAAGAATTTTTTTTGCTTTTGTTAGGTTTAAGTCCATCTTAGGTTGATTTCGAGTTAAGAAAAATACTTTTTGGAAAAGATAATTCAAATGTAAAAGTTATTTTGGGATTTTTTTAGTAGTTGTTCTTAATTAATAATGATTTTGATTTAAAGTTGGTTTATTTTAATAGATTTTTAAAGGTATTTTTTTTAAAAAAAAATATATACATGTATATATTTTTTGGAGATTTGCTAAGATGAATTATTAAGAAATGAATAATATCAAGATAATTTAGAAAAAATAAGAAACTCAATAAATAAAGAATGGCAAAAAATAAAAGATTGTCAAAACAAAATATGTGTTTTAAGTGAAAATTATTTGTAAATGCCATTTTGAAAAAAATAAATAAATAAAAGTTTTATTTTTTCAAAAAAATAAATAAAAGAATTTATAAAATAAATAAATACTATTTATATAAAACTCATTTTTCAAAATAAAATAAAGATTTCAACATTATTCAATAATATTTTTAACAATAATTTCTCCTTTTACAATACACCAAAGTAGATCAATATTTTAATTAAAGATCCAATTAAAGGAATTTTTAATAGAAACAGGCCATTCGGTTTCTTTATCAAACTCATCTTAAAGTTATTATTTTAAAATTTAATCTTTGCATTCTTATATTTCTTTTTCTAGTTTTTCTTTTCTTTTATTTTCTTCATGAGAAAAATGTACGCAAATTGTCAAAAAACAAATCAGACTAATCCATTAATTTTCATTAAGCCCTTCTATTTTTTCCTTTATAATATATTTTCTTTTAATCCCTAATATTTCATACATATTATTTTCCTCCAAGCTCCAATAACCTTCATCTTTTTGCAATTATTATATTTTCTATATAATTTCCTTGAACTTTTTCTTTGACATTTTACCCAATATATACATTGAAGATGCACTTCCGATTACTCCTCCAACAACTCCTCCAATAAAAGCACCCAATATAGGCACTGGAATTAATGTTTATCCAAAAAATGCTCCCGAAAGTGAACCTGTAATAGCCGAGCCGGTACCTATAACCATTTTTCCAAGCATATTTAATTTAGTATTATTGTTAGCGGATTTTCTTTTAAATAAAGTTAATGTTGAATAACCTAGCCCTCCTACTAAAAGCAAAGTGCCTATTATAGGGACTTGTTAAACTATATAAGTTATACTACCATTAATAGTTGCTAACTTTCCAAAATCTTATAAAAAATCAGTTGTAGAATTATAACTATATTAAGTTTAATATTTATAAAATAAAATAAATATACTTATTTATATTCGCTAAGCAATAACCTAAAGATGAACCTATATCACTTGCTGCTGAGGAAATATATGTTTTATTTCCTTACATTAAATTTGGGGGAGGAGGGGCATTTTCAGCTTTTAAAATAGAAGAAAGTTGACTGTTTCTAAAGGCATTGAATAACTAATCTTATGTTTTGGATTTTTGGCTGTATTCCCATTCGTTTATCATATATTTTTAATTTATAATTACTAATTTTTAGTTATTGTTTTCGTGAAGGAAGTATGTTTTTTTATCTTAAGTAGTTATTAAATAGGCTATTTTACCTTCTTTGGATATTATTTCGCTTATTTCAATATTTTTTAGGTTGTTATTTTTTTCAAGTTGGGAAAGAAAGTTGTTTAATATTTATTCATTTGATTGCATTATTTTTTCGTCCTTTTTATGGAAAAAACGAAGTTTAATTAATTCGAAATTTTGGATGATAAATAGAGCGAATTTTTTGACTTTTTCGAAGTCTATCATGGTAAAAAATGTTTCATTTAAATAATTTATTATTTCTTCTTAGCAGGTTTAGGATAATTATTTCAGTAAAAATATTATTACGTATTTATTTAGTAAAAAACTTAACTTTTAGGTTTCTTTTTTAAAATTTTCCATGTTTTTTTCGACTATTTTTCGACTATTTTCATATATATTATATATGCATTCGTTCATTATATTGATATATTTTATTAAAATTTCTTTACTTTTTTCTTATATTTCATTATTTTATATTTATTATTCAAAAAATGTGTGGATTTTATTTTATATTGCTACCCAAAACATATTAAAATTTATAAAATCATCTGTATTACTAAATTATTACAATTCATTCATAAAATCTAAGCAAAAAAAATCTATATATATACTTGGAATTTAAATTAAAGCATATATATATATTTAGCATTATTCCATTATTTACTCATTTTTCTCTTTTTCTATATTATTAGCTTATATGTATTCATATAAATTCTGAAATATATGTTAGCTACGGATTGGATTATGATTTGGATATATTTCATTTATATATAAACTTGTCACATAATCTAATGATATTTTAACAATATCGTTATTATTATCATTATTTGTTTAAATAATATTTTATTTTAATGCCATTAATAATAATTTTTTGTTTTCTTTCTATATGTAATATTAGTATTAATAGACTTTTTTATTTTAGTAAATTTTGATATATTAATTAAAAATTAAATAATTAAATGTTTAGTTTTTTTTCAATAATAAATTATATATAGAAATAAAAGCTAAATTATTATAATATAAAAACTATTAATAATTTGTATAAAAATAAAATATATTAAAAAAACAAAAAGGTATTAAGCATATAATATAAATTATTTTTTATTTATTTATAAATAATTATTATTACTTTTTTTACTATTTTATATATATATATATATATATATATATATATATATATATATTTTTAATATAAAAATAAATTTTCTATCACACTTTATAGCTTCATTTATATATTATACTTTAATGTATAAAATTTTTTACTTTTTGATATATTTTTTTTGTTAAAAAAAACAATTTCTAAAAAACAAAAAAGATGATAAAAAATGAATTATAGAATTCAAAAAAATAAACTATGCTAAAAATTTATATATAATTCTATATATTTGAAATATAAAATATTTTTAATTTATATTAAGCTATACATTTCAATAATAATATTTACTTTTTCAATTAATTAATATTAAAATTTTTACTTAAAGATCACTAAACTTAATATATAAGCTAAAATAACTCTTAAAGTTTAAGATTTATTTTAATAAAATAAATAATTAATTAAGTAAAATTAATAAATCAAAAAAACGAATATATGCAAAAGACAAACAAATAAATGAAATTATAAAGGTAAAAAAATTAAAATTAATTAATAAATTTAAAATATAATAAATAAAAATTTAATAATAATAATATATTCAAAAAAAAAAACAAAAAATAAAAAATAAAAGTTTAGTTTGAAAAAATTAAAATGGGATGTGTTTCTTAAAAACAAAAACCTTAACAAAATAATAAATTCGGACGTACCCAAACAATCAAAAAAGGTAATTTTGAAAAGCCAAGTAAATAATAAGATGATGAAAATGACAATATAGAAAAAAGCAATAATTCCAATTCGGAATAAAACTAATAAAAATAAGTATAACAAAACGAAGGAAACGAAGAATAATAGAACATATTTCCAATTCGTTATTAATTTACAATAAATGGGAAATCAGTAAAATAAATAGAAAATGAATTAGTCCCTATAGATAATGATAAATTTGATAGTTGTTAATTATTAAGTACTGATTGCTTAGAAGGATGTACTCCAATAATTGAAAATGAAGAATATAATATACAAAGAAATATTTCTCTTAAAAATATATAAATTTCAGATTGTGTTAATTTTGTGGAAGAAGGAGTTTTATTAGATAAGAAAGGAAGAAGGATATCTTTTCCAAGAACCTAAACTTTAAAAAAATAAGCAACTATAACATAAAAATCTGATAAACCATCAATTATATAAATTTGGGAATGTTTTCCATCAAAAAACTATTTCAAACATGAAATTAAGCACGATTCATTTATTAAATAGGCTACTTATAAAAATTTTGTCAAGTCAACTACTTTAAATATACCTAAAGAATAGAATTGAATTTTTGCTTAATTAAGTTGTTCTTGTTGTTTTTGTTTTTTATATAATAATTAATTTAATTATTTTTATATTAGATGTTTATATATATTTGTAATATTCATTTTTGCATTTATTTTATATATAAATTGTTTTGTTTTATATATATTTTTTTTATTTACTTTTAAATTTAATAGAAAAATAGTTTTAATATGTCATTGAATAATATTATTTTAATATAGAAAAAAATTATTAATTAAATTGGAAAAATAGTTTATTATTATTATTTTTTCTTTTTACATATTAATAAATCATTTTTTTTAAAAAAAATTATATAAAAATATAATTGTATGTATTTAAAATTTATGTATTATAAATAAAAAAAAATATTTTTAAATTAAAAAAAATAGTATATATTTTATATATTTATTAATAAATAATTATATTTATAAGAAATCTTCTAAAATAATAAAATAAAAATATATTTTAAATCATTAATTTTTTCTAATAATACATATTTTTAATATTAAAATATGAATAATTAAGATAAAGAAGCAGAAAAATCTGAAAATTTTAAATAAGCAGGTTTAAGTAATATACATTATAATATAGTAGTTGGCTTATTTGGAAGTGCATTAGTAATTTTATATAAAATAAAAAAAATAAAATATTTATTTATTTATTTTTTTAAAAAAGGCTGGCTTATTAACTTATGCAGTAATAACAATATTAAGTTAAATATTTTAAAATAAATGATTTTTTTTTATTTTTTTGTGATAAAAAATAAATTTGTATATATATATATATATTTTAATAAAAAATAAAGAAAAAAAAAATTTAAAAGATATTTTTTTTTTTAAGAAAATATGAAATTAAAAAAATATATATCTATGTATTTATGTATGTAAAGATAATTATAGAAAACTAAAAAATATATTTATGTTTTTTTTTATATATATATATAAAAAAAAATATATATTTGTGTTTTTTTATAAATATAAAAATGATCAATCTCTAAATTATAATAATTAAGAATTTCTAAGACTTTAATTTTCTTGACCTTTTTAATCCAATTAATGCCTTAAACATTCGATTTCAGAACAATTAAGAGTAATTTTACAAAGGAGATCTTAAATTTTATTTTCCAAAGGTTAAAATTCGGAATATTTATACCTCCAAACTTCCAATTCTTTACTTTACATTGTATTTTCGCCTTAAAGTCTATCAATTTCAGAAAGAAGATATTTAAGATTATCTTAAAGGTTATTATATTCAAATTATAATTAATTATATCCAATTAATTCTGGTTTCATTTGTTCTATTTCTTAAATTTTAAGATTTATAATGGAATCTTTTGTTTTATTTTCTTATTATAAGAAAGCTAATTTTTAATCGCTTTCAGATTTTTCATGATTTTTTTTTTTTTACAAATCGTCATATTTGTTTTGACTTTCATTCAGTTTTTATTTTAATTATTCGATTTATTAATTCAATAAAGGAACCCGATTTGTCACATCTTTATTTTATAGTAATTAATTTTATAAATCTTATTATTATTATTCCATATTTTGTAATATTTATTAAAGTCTTTAATTTTCTCGTTATTATTTATCATTTTCTTCTTTTAATTTATACGTTTTTTTTATTTGTTCTTCTAATTAATTATCTTTATTGTTTAATTTCTATTATAATTATTCATTCTTTTGGTTTAAAAAAGGTATTTAGTTACATTATTCTTATTTTTAGTTTAATTAATTATTTAAATTTCTATTATTATTTTCTAATAATTATTAATCATTTTAAAGTTAAAATATTTCCGTATTTTTTTCCTCATTTAACTTATTTAATTATTTTTTTAAGTTTACTATATCTTATTCCTTTTTTTATTATTTTAAATAATAATTTTTTATTTATATTTACTTTTTATTATTCCATTTAAATAAGTTAATTATTTAATTAATTCATCTTATTTTCATTTATTTAAAGTTAATTTTTTAATTAATTTCCTTCTTTTTATTATGATTATAATTCCATCTCTTATTTATTAATTTTATTTTATAAGTTTTAGTTATCTTATTCTAATCTTGGTACTATATAATTCTATAGTTCATTTAAGTCTTTTTCGTATTATTATAATTGTTTTAAACCAGAATTCTTTTGTTATTCATTTTATTAGAATTAAAATTACATTTTATTTAAATTTTGTTAACATTCATCAATTTCTTTTGATTTTTATTTTAAAATAGTATTTAATCTATCTATTTCTTCTAAAAGCATATTTATTTTTAATTTAAATTGACAATTATCTTGTTCTATTTTCTTTTTTTCTTAATTCTCTTTTTCTAGTTTTTCAGTTTTATATCTATTTCTTTTCATTTCTTCTTCATTTTGTTCATTTGCCTTTTTCTATCTTACTAATTCTCCATTTAATTATTATAATTATCCTTCTAATTAGTTTAACTTTTAAGTTCCTTATTTTAATTATTCTATTTAAGCATTCTAATGCATATATTATGATTTCCATTATTCCAATTCATTTTATTTGTTTTATAAATTTTATTCTAGTCTTTATTTTTCTTATTCTTATCCTTATAATTTATATAAATTAATTTATTGTTTATTTAATTGATCTTTAAGTCTATATTTTTTTTTATTATTATATAAAATAAAATATATAAAACTCTTCAATTTCTTAATCTTATAAAAATATTTTTTCATCTTTATATTAAAGCTTTTATTACATTTAATCAATAATATCTGCGAATTCTTTTTCTTTAATTTAAATTTGTCTTTTTTACTTTTTTAAATTTTCTTCATTTTCATTTTATAAAAATTAGTTTTGATTTGTTAAATTCTATAATTTTCTTTTTAATTCATCTTCTCTTTTTTTTTTTTATTTTTATTTTTATAAAATAAATAAAAAAAAAAAAAAAGATATAAAATAATATTACTTATATTATAATTCTTAATTTTATTAATTTTTTAATGCCAAATCAGATTTTATTTAATTAAATTAATTAGTTTATTATCCATTTAATTCTTATAAATTCTTATATTCTCTTTAAAACATTTACATTTGTTTCAATTATAGATTTAATTAGTCAATTTATCCTTTTAAATTTGAATTTTCGATAAGTAATTCGTTTAATTTTACGTTGAAATTTGTATTTTCATTCAAAACTTCATTTAATTAATCCTCTGTTATATTAAAAAATTCTATTTATTATTTATATTATTAAATATGTGTTTCTAAATGCTTGCATTTCTTCTTATATCCTTCTAATTCTTTCATTAGCATTTCATCGCAGCTTTAAATATTATTATAATTGTTACTTGAAGATATTAAACATTCGTTTCTTACTAATTATTATTATTATTATTATTATTAAGGCATATTTTAAACTATAGTAGTTGGAACTACGTAATGTTAATAACCTTTTTTATTTAGTATTTTAAATACTTTAATATTTTTTTTTTTTTAATTTACCTTGTATTATTTTTTATTAATTCATTGGACTTAATTATATTTGACTTTAATTTGATGCTATTGGTTATTAGTGAGTTAACAACATTTATGATTATTATGAATTTTGTCTTTAAAATAATGTCATATTTTAAACTGTAGAAGGTCTAGTTAAAGGAGAATATGATGAATATCGTGCTGGAGTATTATTAAAAAGCTTTTATTCGTTTATTATACTTTCTATACCGGCTTATGAATTATAAACACTCATTAATTAATTATAATTTATTATTTTATTTATTTATTTATTTAGTTATTATTTTTTATTAAATTTTTTTTTTTTTTATATTTTTAGGTTATATTTTTATAATTTATATATGTATTTTTTATTCTTTTTTTTATTTTTCAGTTAATCTTTTGTATTTTTTTAATTATAAGTACTTATTTTTAAACTGTTTCTTTATTTAGAATTCAATAGTTCATATAATTTAATAATTATAAAAAAATATAAAAAAAAAAATTGACTAAATAATAAATATATATGTTTTGAATTTAATTAATTTATTTATATATTATAGAAATAAATATATTTTAATTAATATATTTATATTATTATATATAACATTAATTAAAATAAAAGTTAAAAATTAATTAAATTAATAAGTTTATTAAATTAATGCATTTGATTAAAAAAATAAATAAATAAAAAAATTATTAAATTTGATTTTTTATATATAAACTTTTTGAATATAACAGATAAAATAAATTAATTTTTTTTATATTGTTTAAATAAAAAAAATAAAAAAAAATATTTTAATATTAGAAAAAATATTTTAATAATATATTAATACGATATAAAATAAAATCAGGAGCCAGTTTGAACATCAAATTAAGTTCAGGTGGTTGATCCAATTGATCATCATATTTTATTAATTTTATATAATTATTAAAACATAAATTTATATATAAAAATAATATTATTATTAAATATTAATTTATGCTTAATTTATTCAGTATATAAATTATGGGTTTTTTATAAATAATTTTATTATAAATGTTAAGTATAAAACTTTTTTTATATTAAAACTATTTTTTAAAAAAAATATTTTGTAAAATATATTAATAATATTAATAAACAATATGTTTTTTAATATTTAAAATAAATATATATATTATATATAATATATATATATATTATATATATTTTATACATATAAATAAATAATTATATAGATAATCATATATATTATTTTATATATTTAAATATACATTATTATATATATTTATATTTTTTGAACTATATATTATAAAAATTTTTAAATAATTAATTTATAAATAAATAAAAAATTATAATGAATAATATTTAGCCAAGAACTAGAGAAGAAAGAGTTATTCTTTAAATATATTATATAAATAAAGCAAATATAAATTTTATAAAAATAAAGGGTGCAATAAAAGACAAAGAAGCAATGGAAAAAATAAGAATTAATTAAAGAGGTTTTTTTTAAAAATAGAAATTATAATAAATATTTTTAAACTAAATAAGTTGGATATGAAACAAGAAATACAAATGTTAAATAGCTTTTACATAATTCTGATCCTACATCAACATTATTTATTCCAGGTTTATAATAATAAATATTAAATATTTAAATAATTTAAATATTTTAAAGAAAATCAAAGATTTGATAAAGATTTTGCTGTATATGATAAAGCTTTAAGAGAACAAAAATTTTAATAAAAAGAATTTTAATAAGAAAAACATAGATTAGTTGCTTTAGAACGTGACTAATTTAGATGGAAATAAATTGAAGAAAAAGATATAAAAGAATAAAAAAAACTTGAACATAAAGGACATGTACTTGTCACATGCAAAAGAAATACAAACGGGTTTTTAATTAAATTATATATGATTTATTTATTTTTAAAATAAATAAAACTAAAGTTAACCATTTAACCCTATTACTTTAGAATATGAAAAAAGTTAATAAGGAGAAATTTTAAAAACCTAGGATGAAAAATAAATGGTAAGAGGTTTAGTTAGAGCTAAAAATTTAGATATTCATAGTAATTGTGGTTATGATATTTTTACTGGAGAAGAAAAATTGGAATTGAAAATACAGTTCCTAATCACTTAAAATAATAGTATTAATAAAAATTAAATAAATTAAATGAATAAAACGGAGTAATATTAAAAGGAAAAAATGATTATTATATATTGGTTTTAAATACAGATTAAATTTCATTATTTAGATTAAATTAAATATATAAATATATATTATAATTAATGATATTATTATTTTAAATGATTAAATAAATATAAACAATATAAAAAAAGAAGAAAATATAAATAAATTAAATTATTAGTGATGATAATAATTTAATTTATAATAATAATAAAAATATATATAAATAAATATGGAAAAATATATAAAAAAAAAAAATTAAAAATATAAATGAATATATATATAAATATATATATATATATATTTATATATTTTATATATATTTATTATTTATTTAATAAAATAAATAAATTTTTAAAATAATAATTTTCATTTTTTTAATAAATTATTATAATATTATTTTTTTATTTATATTTAAATAAATATTATTATTAATTAAAATATTTACTAAATTATAATTTTAAAAATTTCTTAAATATAAAAAAATAGAAATAAGATTAAAAGTAATATAAATTATTATAAATTTTTATTAACTTAAAATAAATATCATATATATATAAATATTATATTTATAATAATAATAATAATAATAATAATAATAATAATAATAAAAATAATAATAATAAAAATAATAATAATAATAAAAATAAAAATAAAATAATTTTAAACTAATATAAAAATAATATTAATAATAATAATATAAATTAAAATTATTATATTTATAAAATATAAAATTATATTTATAAATATTATAATAATATGATTTTTTTATTTTATCATTTTAAATATAATAAATTTTTTATTAAAGTTTTTTTTACACATTTTCCTTTTTTTATTTTTTTTTTTTTATTTATTTAGTTTTATTTTTTCTTTTTTATACTATTGATTTTATATTTTTTTTATAATATCTATAAATTTTTTTTTATTTTGTTTCTTTTTTTTTTTACATATGATATTTTTATTTATTATCATTTTTCTATTTGTATAAATATAAATTGTCTTTTTCACTATTTTTTTCTATTAATTTAATTTTTATAATTATTAATATTATAAATTTAATCTTAAAAATCTTTTATGTTATCTAATTTTTCATTATTTAAATTAAATATTATTCTTTTATTCCAAAATAAATTTATCATAAATTTACTTATTATTGCACTGTTTTATTATTTATTTAAATTATTTTATAATTAACTGATTACTTTGTCTAATTAATTCGGTTAATAATTTAATTATGTTTTTTAATTTTAAAGCTATCGTGTATGCTTTTTTCAATGTCAATTAATTCAAAGCTGATTTTTTTTCTTTATTTTTAATTTTTGTTATTTTTATATTATTCTATTAAATTATTTTTTTGAGATTTTTCTTTTTGGTTTAAGACGTATAGTTTGTTTTTTTTGCTTTATTTATTTATTCATTTTATGTATAAAATACAGAATAAAAAAATGACAAAAACATTGGTTGGTGAAAAAAATAAAATAACAAATTTACAAATGCAATTTATGCTTTTTGTTTTTTAAATAATACATAATTTATATTTGTTTCTTTATTTTTAAAAATACCTATTAAATATAAAAATATATGAAATATT